TAACCAAAATTATGGGGGTATAAGATATTCCTAACACAATTATACCATTTTTAATTAATGTTAAATAAAAATGGGATTATCTAATCTGTTTTTAAATGTTCACTTAGTTAAAATAGAGTTAACCTGACCGCTTGATATTCATTCTTTTAATTTCTGATTTGACAATTTTATTACATACATATTAGTGGAATTGGAAATAGCCTCATTAGTTTTCACATTAAATATGTCCATAGCTACGTTTATATCATTTAAATTTTCACAACTTCACCAATCTTAAGTAAATATTAACATACTTAAATCAGTCTTATTATAACTTATTAAACTTATTGTGGGCAAAAAGAGCTTTAACAGCAGATCTCGATGAGAACGAGATAAAAGATAAATAAATATGATGAGATGCTGCAACTTGCAATTGTATCTATTTATTTTATAATATGTATTATTTCTATTTTTTTTATAATATAAGAAAAGTATACATTTCTTAATAAATGGAATGTAGGCAGAATTAATAACAGAAAAGTTATAATATCACTTCTATAAGAAACAAATCTAATTGATAATAATTGTATTTCTACAAAGGCAATCGAGGTAAAAGATAATTAGCCAAGTCTTTGCCAGGCTTGTACAAAAATATTTTATTACTTTTCACTAGTATCTTACAGCATCACTTTAGACATTTAATTCTACTTATGTTTGGAAATGTGCAATATCAAAAATTCTTATAAATCTATGGATCTATGAAAATATAATTTTAAAAGATCTAAATGAAATATGGATATACCTAAGTAGGTATTCTAATTTCTAATAGATTTTTATACTATCTGATTATCAGAGTATTAATTAAAATAATTTAAAAAAAGCTTTATGTCAATATTGTCCACTGTAAAACGGCAGGACTTAATCCAAAAATTATTTAACTACAACAGAAAGCAAGTTCCTAGAACAGAAAAATATATATTAAACACGAGGGTACCATACCTAATTTATAAAGGATGGAACAGTTTAATCGTTTGAAGAAGTTTTGCAGTTATTTAATTAAGATCTTTGTACCATACCAAGGGTAGATCAACATTTATGTGATGAGTATTTGATACGCTCGCATTAATGTGTATCAATTGTCATATTATGCGATTTCTGGTGTAATTATTCATAAATTATTAATTTAACTATTCACTAAGTAAATGGCCATATTAAATGAATAAGTACATAGATTAATAAAATATGGGCTATGCAATCTTCTAACAAACAAGGACATTTTCAAATCAAGAGATAATTGTAAATTTGCAAATTTATATTGACCAAAAATTGTATCATATTTTTAAATCATATGAATAACTATTTCAGAACAAAGTCATATTGTTTAGTTTGGTTTATATAATAAAAATATATACCCAGAGTAGCTTAATATAAACTAATTTCTGTAAAATATTAAGTGAATAATAATTATTTTAAAAACCTACTAATTGATTATAAATAACATTCAGTCTTGCAAGGTATTTTAATACCGATCAGTCTGATTTGATAATCTCACCAACATAAAAGCAAGTTTGTATTAAATTACATTATATATTTATTGAGTATGACGTTTATACGATTACGACCCAAGTTTGATCATTTTTATTAACACAACAGAATTGTTAAATCTAGTTTACAGTAATTTTATATTATGCCATATTCGTATTATCTACCTATTATCCCATGCAAAAGGGGCCGTACAACAATTTTTTTCTCTTCACGAGTCTTTATCTGGCAAAAGGTTCACTTAGGACTATAACCTTATAATGTATATATTGATTTATGTGGAAACTTGAAAATGAAATATGTGTTTGGTTCTAGTTATTCATGTAAGGTATTTAAACTACAAGTGTCATATGTTCCGTTATCTTGCTCTAATATATCCTTTAGGTACCAAATTTTGTTAATAATATATCTTCTAAAAGACAAGATTGAAGACAAAGCTTATAAGCTCCTACCTGTATTCTTTAACTACAGAATACATATGTAAGATGTGGTAAAACTAATTTATACTTGACAGCCAAATTCTAAAATCGTTAACTAATTTAGGTAAAAAGTAAAAATAATGTTTTATTTAAATAGTAATATAAACAATTTGAGGGAAATTTTAATAAAATTATTATTATTTTATACCAAATAATATTAAATTATAACATATACTTATATGATAGGTATATACTATAATATAATGTAATTTATTATGAATTTTACGTGTATAGTGTATACGATTTAAATTAGATAATTGATAAAGATCTAACTACAATTTGCAATAAAGATAAGAACCTAACTAAAGGCAATGTTTTTGATATTAAAATACGAAATTTCTCTTGGCGGGTTTTTGGTAAAATCGATGTTGGTACTATCTGTAGTATTACACATTTTATAGGTTATGTAACATTTTTTTCTTATCACGCGTTATCATTTTTTGGAAGAACTACCCCCAACTCCTTCTAGACAGACTTATGATAGTATGTGTGTGATAAGAAGTGATTTTCGCACGTGGAGGTACTTCGCATCGTGGAGGTAAACTGTCATACATAATCACTTTAAAATAAACGCTTGACCACAGATTTTTGATAAAATTGTAAATGTTATACTTCCGTTCTAGATGTACCTTTGGTCTATTTTTCTGACCTATATTAGATAAACTTTACTTGAAGATGTTAAATAAAGAAGAAATGTCTACTCCTTTTTGTGGAAAGGGATTAAGATATGTTTTTGTTTTGTCAATGTTTATCGGTAGTAGGTTCTAGTCATATTTTGACTTTGTTGGCCACACTATAGTTTTGTCAATTTTGACCATTCCTTCAGACCCAAATTGTACTTATACATTCGTATATCATTAATTCGAATTAAATCGTAAGATCGTAATCGTTTTAAGAAAAAAAACATTATGATTGGCCAAACAAGCAGAAAAGAACAACAGAATCATAGAATTAAATATTCATCCCATCGAAAATTTTAAGTAAATCAGTATTGATAATAGTTACAAAATAAAATAATGAAAGTAAAGAACATGTAAGTATGTAACTTAATTTCATTACAAAAAAATTAACGTAACATAGAGATTACTGTCTAGAAACATTTTATACGGGTAAAATTACTTTGCGTGGTAATTTTGTATTTAACTAATACATGTATAACAGCATCATTATTCTTTAATAAAAACCAACACTAATTATGTTTCTTTTAATATAAATTGAGTGGTCAAAGACATTGATAGGGTCTTCACATTATCATCAGTAATTTTTAGTACCTTCACTATATTTTAATTATAAACCTATATATTTTCAAATTAAATATAATTAATGTATATATAGGTTAATATAAATGTAGAGCTTGGAGCAACATACAGAGAAGTCTATTTTTTAAAATAGAGAAAAACATTTTTTAACTTGTTTTTTATTCATTTTATTTTTTACAAATTCCAAATTAATTTATCTATTATACTACCATTCATTTTTATCAACGTTTGTGGGGTTTTTACAAAATAGTGTACATTTTAACAAGGTAACGTTTTCAATTGCTGTTCTAATTTGCTTAGGTATTATTTTGTAACAATTTTTTTTATATTTATTTCAACATCAAAATAGTGTATTATTATTTTGACAATATTATGAATATAGTTATATGATACATAATAAAATATAATTTTAATAGATTTTTTTCGATGGATACGATTCACTGGTATGCCAGATTTGCACAAATGTTATTTAGTATATAAGGATGGAAAGTATAACTTTCTTTGTATCCTCCAGTTAACTTAAAACTGAACATAAAACATTAGAGGCGTTACACAGCTGGGACTGTACAATATAATGTTGAAATTTTAACACACAAGATTTAATAATTAAAAAATAACATTATATGGGTATATTTGCTTCTACCAAATAACATAAATACTAAATACATACACATGTATTCTGGTGGTAATGACTGTACAATCTTAGGTAAATTAATTAAGCAGTAAAATTAAACTACAAAATAATATAACATGTTGAGTTAAGTACACTGATTTATAATGTGTGAAACATATTGGTTTCACTAAATACCTTGTGATCAGTTGACTATCGTTTAGATAGTAATAATTTAAAAATTATAAGAAAACTAAAACAAAAATATTCAATCTGACTAAAATTGTTGATAAAAAAAAATTGTAAAATAATAACAAATAGCTTTTGAAAAACTAATTTAAAACTACTAAATTGTCCATACGTAAGGTTTATAAAGTTATGAGCCATGTGCTTTTGCTTGATGTCTTTTAAGAGTATCTTGGCAACCATATGATTTATTACAGGCTGAGCATTTATATCGTACCCCACCAATATGTATCCGTGCATGTCTCTTGAGATTAGATTGTCGACGAAATGTTTTTTCACAGACATCGCACTTAAAAGGTTTCTCGCCGGTATGTTTATTTGCATGAGTTTTGAGGTGAGATTGTTGAATGAATGTTTTTTCACAGACATCGCATTTATAAGGTTTTTCACCAGTATGTATCCTTTCATGTTTTTTAAGACTTTTTTGTAGACGGAATGTTTTTTCACAGACATCGCACTTAAATGGTTTCTCGCCGGTATGTATCCGTGTATGATTCTTGAGATCAGATTGTTGACTGAATGTTTTTTCACAGACATTGCATTTAAACGGTTTTTCGCCGGTATGAATACGTGCATGGTTCTTGAGATGAGTTTGTTGACTGAATGTTTTTTCACAGACAACGCATTTATAAGGTTTTTCACCAGTATGTATTCTTTCATGTTTTTTAATACTTTTTTGTAGACGGAATGTTTTTTCACAGACATCGCACTTAAAAGGTTTCTCGCCGGTATGTATCCGTGTATGATTCTTGAGATCAGATTGTTGAGTGAAAGTTTTTTTACAGATATCGCATTTAAACGGTTTCTCGCCGGTATGTATACGAGCATGTGACTTGAGAGCAGATTGTTGACTGAATGTTTTTTCACAGACAACGCACTTAAAAGGTTTTTCGCCGGTATGTATCCTTGTATGATTCTTGAGAGAAGATTGTTGACTGAATGTTTTTTCACAGACAACGCATTTATAAGGTTTTTCACCAGTATGTATCCTTTCATGTTTTTTAAGACTTTTTTGTAGACGGAATGTTTTTTCACAGACATCGCACTTAAATGGTTTCTCGCCGGTATGTATCCGTGTATGATTCTTGAGATCAGATTGTTGACTGAATGTTTTTTCACAGACATTGCATTTAAACGGTTTTTCGCCGGTATGAATACGTGCATGTTTTTTGAGTTTAGATTGTTGAGTGAAGGTTTTTTCACAGACATTGCATTTATAGGGTTTTTCGCCGGTATGAATACGTGCATGTCTCTTGAGATCAGATTGTTGAGTGAAGGTTTTTTTACAGACATTGCATTTAAAGGGGTTCTCGCCAGTATGTTTTTTTTCATGAGTTTTGAGGTTAGATTGTGTACTAAAACATTTTTCACAGACATTGCATTTGAAAGGTTTTTCTCCGGTGTGTATGCGTTCATGAGTTTTTAGTTGTTGTTGTCTACCAAACGTTTTTTCACAGACATCGCATTTAAACGGTTTCTCGCCGGTATGTGTGCGTTTATGAATTTTTAGGTGTTGTTGTCTACAAAACGTTTTTTCACAGACATCGCATTTAAACGGTTTCTCGCCGGTATGTATACGAGCATGTGACTTGAGAGCAGATTTTTGACTGAATGTTCTTTCACAGACATCGCACTTAAATGGTTTTTCGCCGGTATGTATCCGTGTATGATTCTTGAGATCAGATTGTTGACTGAATGTTTTGTCACAGACAACGCATTTATAAGGTTTTTCACCAGTATGTATCCTTTCATGTATTTTAAGACTTTGTTGTAGACGGAATGTTTTTTCACAGACATCGCACTTAAAAGGTTTTTCGCCGGTATGTATCCGTGTATGATTCTTGAGATCAGATTGTTGACTGAATGTTTTTTTACAGACATTGCATTTAAACGGTTTTTCGCCGGTATGAATACGTGCATGTTTTTTGAGATAAGATGGTTGAGAGAATGTTTTTTCACAGACAACGCATTTATAAGGTTTTTCACCAGTATGTGTCCTCTTATGTTCTTTAATACTTTTTTGTAGACGGAATGTTTTTTCACAGACATCGCACTTAAATGGTTTCTCGCCGGTATGTATGCGTTCATGAGTTTTGAGGTGAGATATCTGACTAAATCTTTTTTCACAAATATTGCATTTAAAGGGGTTCACTCCGGTATGAACGCGCCAATGTTGTCTAAGGTATGATTTTGATGAACAACTTTTCAAACAAATACCACAATTAAATAAGCCATCTTTGTTTTGAGTATACTCTTTGGTTCTGCTGTTACGATGATTGACTTTATTTTTTTGAGGCGCTTTCTTTTTCACGGAAGTACTGGTATGCGATTTCGCAATATGCCGGATTATATTATTTTTGGCTGTAAACCTCCTTTGACATACATTGCAGTCGAACCGACGTAGTTTGTATATATTTTTCTCAAAATTATTTTTTATAGTTCCAATAAAACTACAATCCATATTTTTTGTATTATTCCAGGTATCGGTCGCTTTACACGAAATATGAATACTGCAACACATATGAAACAAAATAGATTAATTTAAGATTAAAATTTCAAACATCGAAAACGGGTCAAAATCTATTTTTTTTGAAAAATAACTGAAAAACCTCTATATTTAGAGCAAAAATTAGTGATAAAAATTTCAAAAAATAAAGGTCTTATCATAGACCAAAAGAAGAAAAAAATTTTGAGGAGGTTAAGCCGATGACCACGTGGTTTGACTCAAAATGCCCTATATATATATAAACAATGCAAACATAAGCTAACATAATGTGGTACCGCAGACATTGACCGGTCATCATAACCAGAAATAAATAATTTTTTTTTTTTTTGTTATTTTGATTTAACATTATATTGATAAGAGTTAAACGTAGTTTTAAACCAATCTATAATTATATGAACAAGTGGTTCCTAATATAAGTTTAATGATATCGAAACGCTAACATTGATATCAACGACGAGTTTAAATAGGAGGACAACATAATTACAAGTAGCTTTATTTAGGATAAAAATAAATGGTATTAAAAATCGCCTTACTTATAACTGCTGTCGACTTCATTCTTTACCAAACACTCCTCTGTTGTAGAAATTTCTTTGCTTAAGAACTGCACATCAAACGGTTTAGATTCAATGTCTTTACACGATTTTTCCACCGAGTGTTCTGTTTTATCATTTTCAGGTTTAATTTTCAATATATTATACCGCTTCAAAACTCTATAATTGTGAAAAAATTTGTGTGTATTGTTAAATACATTATAATACTCATAAACTCAATAATTAACAAACCAAAATAATATTCTACTGTATATTCAGGCTTTTATATAAAAAAGGATTATTAAATTGGCCTGTTGTGTATGACTGCGTGGTTTGATTCAGAATGCCCTATATATAAATATATATAACAGTAAGTGTTGTGCGAATATACTGTTATGACCATAACCTTCAGTTAACCTCTACACACCATTACACAAAACAACCAACTACACTAAGCCTAATAATACTCATATTATAATAGCTCTCTGAGTCATACATTGGCATACCTATACGATAGATGACTAATGGTTATTACAGAGCGCACCTGCATGATTATCTGGCGTAGTGATTGAATTATATTACAAATATATATATATATCAATACTACTTTAGTCCGTTCCGCTTTGATAAGCTATTTGGGAAAAACATGTTATTGCCATTCTATAAGATTAGATTGCCAAAATAATACCAATTAAAATAATCATACGATGTGCGTCCGCTGTAGCATCCGCCCATCGGGTCAACACAATTTACACAATAACACATTACACAGATTAGCATAACCATATAAATAGGAGTGGGATCCAAGCCTATTCCAGACGAATTATTACACTCAAGTTGAATACACCTATGTAGCAGTTGTCTACGCACTTTTACTGTACAATAAATTTTATACTTATATTTTTGAAAAAGTCTTAAATTATTTTAAATCCATCTTCCTGAATTGGTTTCAAATTGAACAACACGATACTTTTTGATCTTATACATCACCAAGCATCACAATACACTAACATAATGTGGTACCGCAGACACTGACCGGTCATCATACCCACAAATATATCATTTTTTTTTTGGTATTTATATTGATAAGAGATAGATGAAGTTTAAATTAATTTATTATTTTATAAACAAGAGGTTCCTAATATAAGTTTTATGATAGCGAAACGCTAACATCGATACCAACGACGGGTTAAAAAAGGAGGTCAACATAATTACAAGTAGCTTTATATAGGATAAACATACCATGATGTAATTTATTTCATTTTAAAAAATCTTACCATTTCATTAAAAAATAAAACATAGAAGAAACGGCTTTTTAAACGACTCTCCCCCCTTAGTGTACAGTTTTTTTTTTATAATAGCGTGTATCTTAAACCCCAGAACTAATTATACTAATTTTTTTTTACAACTGTTAAAATGTAGATATGTATAGAAAATGTAGATATTGATAAAAAATAATGGTAATAAAAATCGCCTTACTCATAACTATTGTCGACTTCATTCTTTACCAAATACTCCTCTGTTGTAGAAATTTCATTGTTTATGAACTGCACATCTAGCGGTTTAGGTTCAATGACTTCAAACAATTTTTCAAAGGAGTGATCTTCTGATTCGTCATTTTCTTGCTTCAAAGCTCTATAATTAAAATTTAACATCTTATAATTCTTTACATGTGTGGGATTATTAGGAAGACTTAACTACGATTTTAACTATTGTTTTTTAAATATTAAAAACTATTTGAATTTACCTTAATTAGATAAATAACACAAGCCTACAAGTATGACTTGTAGGTAAAAAGCTAACACTATAAAGATCAAAGCTAAGCGATAGCCCATTTGACCAACTAAATCCTTACTCATTGTATATATATATATATATAACTGAAATTTTATTTACCAAACAATTATTTTAAAAGAGTATATAATTTACTAAAAATCTTAACTTATTGTTAACAAGTAAAATAATATCACATGTAAAGGGCTAGTGGATTAAGTTATTCAAGGAAAGTTTATATTTCTCTTTACTTTTTACAACGTCGTTATAACATCGATAACTACGACGGGTGTTTAGAACTGGACAACATAATTACAAGTTAATAGTTTCATTTAGGATAAAAAATAAATCGTAAAAATCGCCTTACCCATAAGTATTGTCGTCTTCATTCTTTACTAAATACTCCTCTGTTGTAGAAATTTCATTGTTTATGAACTGCACATCTAGCGGTTTAGGTTCAATGACTTCAAGTGTTTTATGAAAGGAGTGTTCAGTTTCATCATTTTCATGTTTAATTTTCAACATATTATACTGCTTCAAAATTCTATAATTGACATTTAACATAAGTTATATTTCTGTACCATATACGCATAGAGGATAAATAGGACAACTTCACTACACAATTATAACTATTTTATTAAGTAACAAATTAGGTAAGAATAATGATATAATAAAGAAAATTATAGTTAACAATATTTGAAAAATAAAAACCAAAAAAGTTTTGAGAGATATATTTTGTTTTTTTTAACTTTTAATCTTAGATTTTAATTTACCTAAATTAGACGAATAACACACAACTACAAGTCTGACTTGTAGGTAAGACGATGTTAACACGATAAAGATTAAAGCTGAACACCTATAGATGTTTATGATTCTATTTATTCACAAACATTATGTTAAGTCAACGGGAAACAGAAAACACGGCAATAATGTGAGTAAATTCAAAATACATAACGGTAGGTACTCACACAACGTAGAACTGTAAACCGGTGTTCAGGGCTGCTACTAAAAACTTAAAATGATTAACAAGCAAAACAAAACTCAATTGTAATGTAAATTGAATCGAAATAAAGAAACATGAGGCACTACGTTAGGTATTTATCACTGAATTCGACCAAGTTATTATGATTAAAAACTAGAAATTCTCAAGAATCAGAGACGAGGCATCAATACCGAAAACAAGTTATACCTATGTCCTATTTGCAAAAATCTAATCTAACTATTTATAATTCACAGAAATTCAGAGTGTACAAAAAGAAATATAAATTATTAACAAAAACAAAACTTGTAAATTGTGATTTTAATGCAAAATGAATGACAACATAGAAATTTTCTAGACAGATTTGTGATAGCGTGTGTTTGTGTGATAACGATTGATTGCCACAAATGGAGGTACTTCACAGCGTGGAGGTAAACTGTCGTGCGTTTTAGGCGGCAAAAAAATCAAAATCTCAACTCGTTTTAAAGCTTGTTGTAAACTTACCTTCATTGACATCCTATAACTTGTATTAATGCGTTTACCTAAGACTTTATCCGTTTTGGACACATCTTTCGCTAATTGTGTTAGAATACATAGGCCCCACGCTAGTAAAATAATATTTAATATTATAATAACAAAAAAAATAGTTGTTAAAGAAAGCCAGTACATTTGGGTATAGTGAAGACTGGGATGTCACAGGTCTACAGGAATTGTTTTAACCGAAAGTGATATAATCACTTTTAAATAAACGCTTGACCACAGAATTTTGAGAAAATTGTACCGATATGTTTTACTTCCATTTTTTATCTACCTTCAGTCTAATTTTCAGAACTAAATCACTAAAAATTTGCTTGAAAAACTGAAATAAAGAAAAAATGTCTCTCCTTTTCACTTAAAGATTTATGATATGTTTTTGTTTTGTCAATGCTTATCGGTAGTAGGTACTATGTTTAATCAATATTTCAGATTTGTGATTTGTGAAAAAATATTAATATGTTCTAGTTTTAAAATTGTTAAAGTTTCATGTATTCATATTTTTATTTTGCTAGCTTCACTATAGTTTTGCACAATTTTGAACATTTCTTCTGCCCTACATAACACATCATTTTGTCACATAATATGTTTGTTGCCTCTTTCCATCACAAATTTTTAGTTATAAGGATTTATTAATAAAAAATATTTTAACTGAACACTGGTACCATGATTTCAGAGTAATATCATTAAAAGGAATATTATTTTGACAAAAATCATTTGATAGCTCTCCTAACCTCTGTCAACTTGATGTCATGTTTTTTTCTGTTCTATATCTTACACAATGAAGTTCTCCCAAAGTATCATCAACAACAAAATCGTATAAAAAAATTAGTATTATAAATATATACCAAAGAATTGTAGAGCCATATCATTAAAAGTAACCATACTACAAAATTTGTATGTTTGCTGTCCTGCACTGTCTATTAATTTCCATTATCCTCCTTCTTTGTCATGTCTTTCACAATGAAATACTCCTCCATCATTCACAAACACGAATAAGTCGTTTTTCATGTTAACAACACCTGCATTTAAAAATATTTATGAATAAAATAATGTGTAATATACTTACCTAATATACCTACTTGAACAAATATATACCGACTTGAGCAATCTCCATAACTTAACAACTCGTTCAGGTACTTTATGACCATTGACAAGATAAATTAGTAATTACGTTTTCTATAGTCG